TAGAGAATCGAACATCATCACGTAAATTACACGTGCACATGGGGTAGGAAGAGATTACTGAAGACACAACTTTACGAGTATAACAAAATATTAAAAAATTCAAAAACTTCAAGCATCCATTATAATAAAAAGGTAAACAGCTCATGGTGACAGTGTATTTTGTATATTATGTAAGCGAGGGACCGTGCGTCAGTTATGGTAAAGTACGGCAAACCGTTGTCGTCAGTTGAAACCGTTGTCGTAATACCCCGGGCGCTATGTCGAACCACCGCCACACACAGTTCAAACACACACCACCGGCAACCCACCTGCGAACAGCACCGTCACCTCCTCATGCGCTCACCTCGCCATGTACTGCTGTGCGCCGCTCAAGGCTCCGAAACCACCACACGAGGGCGTGGAGGGTGAGGTGACGCTGTGACTGTGGCTGTAGCTGGAGCCCAATGCTGATTGCGCGTTGGGGAGCTGTAGCGGGCGGACAGGTGGCGGCGGCGATGGGAGGGAGGGTGGTGGCGACGGGGGCCGCTGTGGCGGCCGCCTCCGTTGCGTCGCCGCAGAGGCCCGGCGGCGCTGGGGCGCATGCGGCGGCGGCGGCGGCGGCGGCAGTAGCAGCAGCGGCGGCGGTGACGGCGCCGCAGCTGTCAAGGCCGCAAGGCTCTGCGATGTTATCACCGCTCGCATGTGTCACGCCATATGACGTGCTAACAGACATAAGAAATGCGGATGGATCACTCCCCCCCGCAGCTCATGCGCGGATTGCGCTGGGTGAGCTGGCGGTAGACCATCCAAAAGGCACTAAAGTAACTGAACGGCGCGCGTTGTGTCCTTAACCAGGGCGCGCTTCCACAAAGCATTGCTGAACACAACCAACCAAAACTTAGTTCCTACTTGCAAAACACTCAAACGGTCGTCCCGTTGCACAGCACGGAGCCAATGCAAACGTGCTGGATCCGCCTGCGTGATATAAGTGCGAGGCACAGCAGCGATGACAGCTACATCAGCATGCTGACATGCCACCGGCAACACCACATCCATCACCTCCTCAGAGATATCCAACCCTATGATTGGCATGGCGACTCCATCAGAACGAGCCTTTGCAAAACTTTGCGGATGGGCCGCGTAGAGGGTTGCCTTATTGGGCATATACCGAACGGTGCAGGCACCCTCCCGCAACTGCTGCATTGCCTTCTCATCCCACTTCCAGGGAACAAACACTGATCCCACACAACCAACTGCGACGGCTTGCGTTAGAACGCTGACATCCTCAGCCCTCACAGGATCTCTAATCATGATACCCTTGCATCCGGCGGTCACCAATGCCTTTACTTTGCTTGGACTGTGCTCTCCCGGCATCACACGGGCCAAAGCTTGGCTGACCCCCTTAATCGTGTGAAGCTCGAACGGGCCCGAGCACGGATGCTCCTTGGCCTCAGAGATTCCCGCCATCGCTTTCTTGGCAGAGGGGCGTGTGGGGGCTACACGATTGCGCAACTCGCTCACACTAACCACCTCAACGTCTCCGTTGTCGTACACCACCTGAAACACGTGGGACCTTCCCCTGCGGCCAGCATACGATGCTACACCCAGCGACCGGGTGGTGCGGCGCCCTCTTCCTTTAGACTCCCTCATAACAGCCACACCTTGAAGGTCGCGCAGGTACTTGGGTGGCTCGGGAGCTGCACCCCGCGCAGGTTCGGACGACTTCCCTTCCAAAGCTTCAGCACTAACTCCTTTCGACTCACACTTTGAGCAAATCCATGCGCCCTCCGGTATCTCCTTCAAAGGCGGCTTAAGACAATAAGTGTGCCATCCAGTGCCGCACGCATCACATAACAACATCCATTCTTCACCATCAGGAAATCTGCACACCTCACAGGGATGCCCTGGAGATGGCCTAGCCAATCGCGGGTCGACCACGTGATCATCGATGGGCAAATGACAGGGCGCACAGTGACTGACATGGGCAGTAAGCGTGCTGCCACAGCGTCCCTCTAGCACCAACACCCCGGAGGGCCTCACCTCAGTAACCCGCAGAATATCCGGCTTGGCATGAGGATCCAAACTGGCGCGAGCGGAGGTATTCCGATAATACACGTAGTCACCCATCTCAAAACGACGCAAACGCGGCAAAACGGCTCCGCCCCTCATGCGCGCATACTGAAGAGTGTCACGATGCTGCGCAATGAGTAGGTTGCCGCCCGCCACGGCCATATGTCGACGAAGAGCGGCAGCACGTTGCATAATAGACCTTGCCGCCGCCTCTGGGTCATCCAAACTCACGTCGCTTTCAAAACGCTGCTTAATCGCCGGTGGAATGGTGGGCTCCACGGCGTGCATGACGTGGTACGGCGTAACACGCGATGCTGACTGCACGGAGCAGTTGTAGCCCAGCATGACGTACGGCAGATGCTTGTCCCACTCCTCAACTCCACCGCCAGCATGTGCAATGCGCCGGAGCGCGTTTTTGCAAGTCTGAACAGCACGCTCTGCCAGTCCGTTGGCTTGCGGGTGGTTCGCTGAGGTCTGACGATGATCTATCAACGAATCAATCAGCAATTGCGCAAACTCAGCTTTCCACTCACTGCCCTGATCTGTACACACCTCAGCACAGGCCCCATAACGGCCCAAAATGTGGTGCTGGAAGGCGAACGCTGTCTGCTCAGCATGCTTGTCAGGCAGCGGAATGAGAACCACGTACTTAGAAAAATGCTCCACACAAATCATTACGTAGGTAAAACCCCTGGGGGTCTTCTTGAACGGCCCACACAGGTCCACACCCCAGCGGTAGAATAAACCCGATATTGGCAGCGGGTTGAGCTCCAGCGCCCTGGCTGAAAAGCTGGTGTTGACACGATCGCAGGCTGCGCAGTGACGTACCACCGAAGCGACATCGTCGTGCATGCCCTGCCACCAGTAGCTGGTGAGAAGCAGCGCAGTCGTGCGCCGCACCCCGAAGTGACCAGCCTGCTCGTGGGTGCGCTTGATGATGTCAGTGCGGTCACCAGGCTTGGGAACGACGCGTGGCTTGCCGTCGTTCTCGATGCGACAGAGTGTCTCTCCTTGGAAACGGTACTTGCGTGCGCGCTGAGCACAACGCTTTTGCTCCGCCAGGTCGGTGCCAGGTGGACATTCGCCTGAGCGAAGAAGACAAATAGTGATTTCGTCGTCCCAAATATCCTGACGCCGGGCATCGGGACTGAGAGTCTGATCTTGAGCATGCGCGGCCAGCGCCATAGAGGCCCCACCCATGTCACTAAGAGGGTGAGAGGCCACGCTCTCGGCAAGCCCTTGTGAGATGTAAGCACGCTCGTGCACGACGGATCGGCACGATGCTGCGGCAAAGGCTTGCGCTTTGGCATCTTGCGCCAGGGCGCGCAGGATTGCAACAACACTGGATGTGAGTACCTGATCAGTTGCGTTGGCCAGCACAGAGAGACGAGCATGATCTGTCAGGCCAGGAGCGGCTGACGCCCCTGTCTCATAACCCAACACGAGGTCACATTCCCCGGGATACAGGGAATCGTACTGAGCTGTAATACTGTGTACAACGGAGTGGCGATA